TCCAGGTGAAGTGGATTTTTATGCAGCATTTCAGTAATCTATAGTACAGTTTCACTTGGACAAAATTAGGCTTTTAAAATCTTATTTTTCTTTACTCACTTAATCTCATAGAAATAAAATCAAATGTTTTATTGTAGCTTATATAACCTACAGTTTTGAATCACTGTTAACTAAAATAAATGAACAGACATAATGGAATAACATGTTTTCCCAATTTTCTTCCATTATTGCACGAACTAGGACATGTATGTCTGGAATCCACATTGCCTGGACTATATAAAGTACTATTTGTTCTATTTCAACGTTAAATAAAAATAAATTAATTCATAAATACAGATAACTGTCTCTGAGTAATTATGAAACTAAACCTTTCTTAATCTTATTAGGACACTTCGTGTCGGTGAATCACATTTAGGTTTTGCTTTAATGCTTTACATAGCTCTAGTTTGCATAATTATTATTATTAAAAATAATTCAAAAACAAGAGAAAAGCGCTGCTTCTGAAACCACGTGTGTGCTAAGCTGTCCCAGGGCTTCACTGAGGCTGCTGCAGTGATACCGCTTATCAAGTGATCAATCAGCTGGTTGAGGGGACGTAATTGGTCCCTGGCTCAATTTTATCAATCAGTCTAATCACTTGAATCTACTAGTGTGGGAACATTCCCGTCACCTAAAAAGCAGCTCCTGATATGGGAATAAAACACTGACATTAGAGCAATATCGCTAAATAACCACACAAATATTACCCTTAGTTAACATCAGGTGAGCCACGGAGAAAACATAATAATAATCATAATTATTATGATTATTATAATTATAATAAACATAATAATAATCATAATTATTATGATTATTATAATTATAATAAACACAATAATAATCATAATTATTATGATTATTATAATTATAATAATGAAATACAACCTTGGAAGTGTATCCAAAGTCCAGCTGGCTCGTTTCGGGTTGATCACTTAAAACTTTTCCAAATGAAACTGCCGGAGACTCCAAATGATCCGCGGAGTGTGAGCGTGCTTATTTTTCAGACCACTGTACTCACCCACTTCACTGGTCTGGCTGGAAGTTCAAATCCACTCTGCACGCGTTATTATCTTGATATTTAAGAAGAGGAGGAGCGCACAATCCCTAAAGTAACGTAAAAACGGGGGAGGGACTTGGGGGGGGCGGAAGGAGATCTGAGTGGGACAAAAAAGAGCAAAGTATAGATCGGCTGAATTTGGAGAAATGAAGGAAAGGGAGAGACTTTTCTTTGGCAGAAAGACCTGACTCCTGGGCGGGATGGCTTTGGAACCCTAACTGCCTCATATTCCTTTAACGAGTGTGATTTGTTTAGTAATGTTGTTCTCGCACTCTGTAGGAACACAGTCTGCAATGTATTTAATCGGTTAAGTGACGACATGTTAACATCTGGACAAGTGTATCAGTAAGATCAAGGGGAGGTTACAATGAAGGGTGTTCCGGGGGGGGGCAAGGCAAAAACTGTCTTAACTCAATAATAAGCATGATTGACTTTTCAACACTGTGGAGGAGTCCGTAACGCTAATCAGCAGATCACGAACACACACACGTTCAACGAACATCTGTACGGACTGTGGAGTAGTGTTTTATGCACTTTAATAGAGAGCCAGGTGCTTCTGCAGTTCATGTTCAAATTACGAATATCAATGCAGGGTCTTTACAATATCAGGCGACTGCTGTTGTGATTAGGCACTATAAAAGTGACACTGAATTAAATGTGAGAATCTTTTTCTTCCAATATTTTAGTTTCCACTTAAATGCTGTCCTATGACACAGTGAACATTGTTTATTATTTTTGTGTGGAAAATTACAGCAAGCATTCATTCAAACCATATAAATCTTTAAAGTCAAATTATCCTAAACCTCTAGAGATGACAAAATACACACTGAGAGTCTAACCCAGATTATAGTCAAAGGAGCTTGCAAAGAAAAGCGTCTGGACTTCTTTAAGTTGCTTGAAGACGTTTCACCTCTCATCCGAGAAGCTTCTTCAGTTCTAAGGTC